AAAAAAAAAAAAAAACGAAAGAGAACTCCATCACTCCAGCACCACGCCCACATGACTTACTGTGAAGCCAACAATAACGACCAAAACATTTTCCTCACACGCCATCGTCATGCGAAATCATTCCTCAGCTGCAGTGCCTACCTCCTCAGAGGGAAAAGCAGCACCCAGCGACTCCGCAGGGAACGGGTCGCTGCGGATGATGCATCGGCCTGCAGTAGCGACACACGTGACGGAGCCCGCGGTGCCCGCCTGTGCTTCAGAGCTTCCGCTCCCCGACTCCTCCTGCATCGCCGCTACGAGGCCGCATAGCTCGTCATCAGACGATACGTTGTCGAGATGTCGCTCGGCCACAACAACACACGACGTGGCGCACGCAGACTGGTGCACCTCCTCCGAGCGCCTGCTGCCCGACGAACTCTGAGCGGACCCGCCCAGTGACGATTCCATGGCACCCCTAGCCGTTGCGGGTGGGTTGGTATACACGCTCTGCGGCGGATGTGTCGAGTGCCTCGGGCTCACGGCAGTTGCCACTGCTGCTGTGGTGGTGTCGCACTGGCCGTGCGCGTTGCGGCCCTCCGTGACGCACCTCAACCGCGCGATGCTGTCCGCGATCTCGCACTGCAGCTGCTCAATGGGTGAGCGCGGCGGGGCAGTGAAGATGGACGCAGGTGGCGGCGGTGCCTCCGTGCAGCTCTTCCACACAACGGGGCGCGTGCCGCACGTGTCCATCTGCGTCGCGGCGGAGCCCCAGTCGGAGCAGCGGCTCATCTCCGACACGTGCGACGTCCCGCGCCGCGAGTGCGCAGAGTTGCTGGCCACGCGAGAGCCGCGTGACGGAATGACTGACGGCAGCGCAGCGTGCATGCTGCTGCTCCCGCTCTCGTCAGCGAGACCGCAGGGTGTTGGCAACACATTGCGGCGGCTTTCAAGCGGCGGCCGTGAGCTTACCGGCGCGACAAACACGCGGTAGCGCCAGCCGGCGTAGCGGGCGGTGTTGGGCGTCAGCAGCATGTGGCCGTCGAACTCCTCGTCGTAGTAGAAGACGGCGCGAATCACGTACGAGAGCGGCGACACCAGGTGCGTCAAGTGGTTGAGGATGACGGCGTCGTCAAACAACGGCGTTGCACCGGAGGTGGGCGGTGCGCACTCAATCGTCATAAAGCCGTCGTCACCTTCATCATCGCCGCCAATCCCCGTTGTGAGTGTGACGCGCCACCGCCGGGCCTTCGCCGCGCCCGCCACGGTGTCGGCATCGTCATTGCCCTTCACCGGTGAAGTTGCAGCGGCAACTCTAGCAGACGAAAAGGCAGTAGCAAGAGACGGCACACCGGGTGACCTTGACGGCTGCTGCTGCTGCTGCTGCTG